ATTTATATAGTGCTCTGTGAACACAAATTAGTTAGCATAAATCAGTTAAATGACGAAAAATTAGGTGTCTATTTACTTATGACTACTCAGTGTATATTTAAATGAAATTATATTTATACATCTGTAATGTATTATAGTTTTCTTCTTGACATCAGTTTTACACAAAATAAAAGCTACAGTACATAGTTTTCAAGCACGAAAAGGAACTGCACTGTTCAAGTAAAGCATACATTTAAATTTTATTCTTTTGTCAACTTAACTTGATTAATCCAACAATAACTTATCATAAAGAAAGGGTAATAGTCAAGGTACAGTTATATGTTTTAGTCCAGAGTCCTAGTAGCTCAGTTGGTGCATTATTGGGTCTCACAGCACAAGAGTGAGTCAAGAGTCCTAGGTGCCAGCTCAGGGCAGATTGTTTTAATGTTCTAAGTTCTTATGTTGGTGTTTAATTTAATGATATGAGGATGCTATGGCATGTATTGTAAGTTCAAGGATAATCTTTGTTTGAGTGGAGAATAATGTAATGGTCAAGGTTTTGAGTCCTGAGAGCTACATGAGCTTATATTAAATTTCAAGACGCTAGTGTGAACTGATGTTTCTGGGTTCACACCCTCATTAGTACATATTTCTTAACCCGATTCATTATATTAGAACACTAGCGGTGGTTATCCCAACTCTTGAGGTATTACTATAATTACATTGCATGAAAAATGTCATAATCATGTACCCTTTTTTTTGTTAATCAAATTACTAAAAGTAACAGGAAATATCTGCAACTGTTTTAATTTTTTGACAGTAACTGTATAGCCTACATAAACTTTACCTGCCACTGTTCTAATTGCTGTGACAGTTCCACCTTTTGTTGAATAGCTTCCATCAGTTGACTATTAATGTGCATCATGTCAATTCTTGTTTTGGCAAGTTCAATCTCAACAGAATTTTTCCTATTCAGAACAGGAAATCAAAGATTAAAGCACAGTTAGATTAGAAAAATTGAAACAATGCAAAATGACATGTAACTACAAAAGTATTTCCCAGAACAGTATTTTTCTTCTGTTACAATTTCATATTATAGCTTTTTTAAAACATATTTAAAAACAAATCACTACTGTAACCTATGTTTCAATCTCTGACATTTCTAATACATTAAGAATCCTTAATTTTCTGTTCCTTAAAATGAAAATGAATTAGTAAATAAACACGTTTTTAATCACAAGTTTGGTGCACCTGTTTTAGTTCAGATGACATAAGAAAGAAATGTATATCACAATTTAATATCTTTATGATATGCTGAACAAAATTATGAAAATTCTTATAGAGGACATTAAAAATGATACTACCTTTCAACAGCTCGATCACGAACTTCCCAAGATTTTTTAACAAGTTCATCTTTAGCTAATTTACTGTTGTCTATGTCATAATGCAACTGGTCTCGCTCTTCCTTAAGAACAGCTACCTCTCTTTCTTGGATAGTTACCTGAGGAAATCAAAATTAGGCAACACTGACTTGTAATTTGTTTGAATATTTCAACAAAGTATGTGCAAAAACAGAACTATAACATGAGTTGTTCCACTACATTGTATAAAATACACTTTTTGTCAAAATATATAAACCATATAAATTAATATTTTCATGTTTCATTTAATAAGCCAGTATGCCAACAAATCCTTACATGGGTTTGTTTAGAAACAGAAATTGTTTAAACCCTCCACTGCTTGATCATTTCTATTTCTTTAGGGCATAAAAGAATACAACTGCATTGTTGAAAAAACTACTTCACATATAAATGTAGGATTCAAGATACACCTTACTAAAATAACTACCATATCTGGTAATAATATGTTATGATTTTTTTTGTAATAATATGCTCCATCAGCTATAAAGGCATTCTACACCATGAAAACTACTATTTTAATAATGATATGTCATATACTACATCGATAGAAATCCTACATCCTAAAAACTACCTTTTTTAGTAATAATGGTATGAGCCACTAGCTTTAATAATACAATCCACGACCTTAAAATTATCTTCTTTTAGCAATAATATGTCTTGCTCTACCAACTATCAGACTTTATATTGTTGCGTCATCGAGATCACGTGACTATTCTCACGCCCTCTA